CATGGCAGTTGTTGTCGAGGGATCGATTTCTCGCTCTTTCTCTACCAATAGTGGCGTCCTACAGGGTTCTGTTCTTTCACCAACTCTCTTCCTTCTTTTTATCATTTATTTACTTCACACTACAACTAATTCTATCCATTCTTGCGCCGATGATTCTACTCTTCACTCTTCCTCACATTTTCCCCTTCCTCCTAACTCTCAAACTAGATCTGTTTCTAGAACTGATATCATTACTTCTATCAATGCGGATCTGTGCAGCATCTCTGAATGGGGAGATACAAACTTGGTAGTTCAATAGTAATAAAACTCAATATTTACCAATTACACATTGTAAATTAGACGATCTCCCACCAATTACATTTCAGGACGCTATCATCCTCCCAAATTCTGAAATAAATATGTTAGGCCTCACCATTTCCTCCAATATGTCCTGGAAATCACACATCCTTAGTATAGCTTAAGCTGCCTCCCGAAAGTTGGGAATGCTGTACAGATGCTGCAGCTACTTCACTCCTGAGCAGTTGCTCCAAGTATATAAGGGATTCATTCGTCCTAACTTGGAGTACTGCTCTCATATCTGGGGTGGCTCTTCTTCTGTCCAACTATTAGATAGGGTGGAATCAAAGGCATTTCGTCTTATTAACTCTCCTCCTTTAGTCGACAATCTCTCTTCCCTTTCTCTTCGCCGCAATGTTGCTTCACACTCTCTCTTTTACAGGTACTTTAACGGGCAATGTTCAGTGGATTTGGCATCCTGTGTACCGCTGGCAAGGCCGTGGGTTCGTAACACACGTCTTGCCCGCGGTGCCCACCGTTTCTCCGTGGATGTCGGTCACACGAGAATAACCCGTTATAGTACCTCCTTCCACACAGCCAAACTGTGGAATGCTCTGCCTTCTCCTGTGTTTCCATGCTCTTATAATCTGTCTCACTTTAAAAAGCTGGTTTTCCGGCATCTTCGTGGTGTAGATTAATACAGTATAACCTTTTTTTCTATATCTACAATTTCTTTCCGTTCTTTTTTTTCGCCCCCCAGGCTCCGTTGTGGGTCGTTTGACCTGTGCTCGGGTGGGGTAATTCCCGTAAAATAATAGAACATAAGAATGGAGGAAACTGCAGCGGGCCTATTGGCCCATACTGGGCAGTCCCGTTTACACCCAACCCCTATTGCTCATATGAGCATCCAACCTATGTTTGAAGCTATTCAGCGTATTCGAGTTAATGATGATATTTGGTAACTTGTTCCATTCATCCACTACTCTGTTTCCAAACCAGTGTTTACCTATTTCACGCCTAAATCTAAATTTGTCTAATTTAAAACCATTGTTACGAGTTCGCTCCTGGTTGGATAGTTTGAGTACCTTTGTATATCCCCTTTGTTTAGCCCTGACTACCATTTATACACCTCTATCAGGTCGCCCCTCGCTCTACGACTCTCGAGGGAGTGCAAATTAAGATGCTTTAACCTGTCTCTATACTCAAGGTTCCTAATGCCCGGGATTAGTCTTGTCATTCTCCTCTAAATTCTTTCCAGGGATTCTATATCCATTCTGTAATACGGTGACCAGAACTGAACTGCGTAATCCAGGTGTGGTCTCACAAGCTCAAGATACAGTTTTAGGATGACCTCGCTAGTCTTGTAACTAACACTCCTTTGTATGAACCCAAGTACTTTATTAGCCTTGTTACGAGCAAAAACACATTGTTTACTTGGCTTAAGGTTCCTACTTATCATTACTCCTAAATCTCTCTTGCAGTCGGATTTCTCTATGGCATTGTTGTTCATCTGGTAACTGGTTTCCCTGTTTACATCTCCTATACTGAGTACTTTACATTTGTCCACGTTGAATTTCATCTGCCATTTTTCCGACCATTCGAAAAATTTGTTTAGATCTTCAAGTAGTTTTGCAGAGTCCTCGTCAGATTTAATAACACGTCTTATTTTAGTGTCATCAGCAAATTTACTTATGTTGCTGTCTATGCCGATATCTATGTCGTTTATGTATATAATAAATAATAATGGTCCAAGTACTGACCCTTGGGGAACTCCACTAGTGACGTTGCTCCAATGGGACTTGGTGCCATTAATGCTCACTCGCTGTTTCCTGTCCTGTAACCACGCCCTAATCCATTTAAGGATATTACCTTTGATGCCATGTGCTTCTACCTTTCTAATTAGTCTTTCGTGGGAGATTCTGTCGAAGGCTTTGCTTAAGTCGAGATACACCACATCATAATTGTGCCCCTCGTCCACCGATTCGAAAACTGATGAAAAGAATCTTAATAGATTAGTTAGACATGAACGTCCGCTTGTGAAGCCATGCTGGGAATCATTGATCAATCGGTGCTTCTCCAGGTGATTTCGAATAGAGTTTGAAATGATTGCTTCCAGTAATTTGCCTACTATTGATGTTAGACTCATTGGGCGGTAGTTAGAGGATAGTGATCTATCCCCCTTCTTGAAAATCGGTATTACATTCGCTATCCTCCAGGATTCTGGTACTACACCTGTTTTTAAGGACATGTTAAACAACTTTGCTAAGAGCATACTAAGCTCTTCCTTACATTCCTTTAATACTCTGGCAAATATCTCATCAGGACCAGGTGACTTATTAGGCTTTAGTTTGTCTATTTGCTTACTAACATCGTTACTAGTCACTACTATCTCGCTTAATTTGTTTTCTTCGCTATCTCTGAATAGAGTCGGTGCCTCGGGTATCATGTTTAAATTTTTGGTGGTGATAACTATTGAAAAATTTTTATTCAAATTATTGCTCATTTCTCCGTCGTTATCAGTGAGCTCGCCGGTATCTGGCCGTATTGGTCCAATCTTTTCTCGTGTTTTAGTTTGATACATTTGGTAGAATCCTTTGGGGTTTGTCTTTGCCTCCCTTGCTATCCTTACCTCATTATTCCTCTTGGCTTTCCTTATCTCGGTTTTAACCCGACTCGCCAATACCTCATAATAATCCCGGAGGTAAATTTCGCCACGATTTATCCTTCTACCTATAGCCTTCCTTTGACCAATGATGTTCATTAAATAATTATTTATCCATTTAGGGTCATTGTTGTCTGATCTGAGTTTTTTGTATGGTATGTTCTGCCTTTGTGCATTAAGTAACTCATTATTTAAATTGTGGTGGAACTCGGCAATCTCAGATCTCGTTATCAGGTCAGTGTCATCTGTCAGGTTCAAGGCCAAGTGCGACACCCCCTCTCTCAGCTGCCTCTTTAAACTGTCAAAGTTTGCCCTTCTGAAATCTGGTACTTTAGTGGAATTTTCCTTACGTCTGCCCTGAAAATCTAACTGAAATCGAATTTCTTTGTGATCGCTGTTTGCAAGTTCGTTCCCTACCTCGACATTGCTAATGAGGTTTTCTCTGTTTGACAGAACTAAATCGAGTATATTATTACCCCATGTGGGTTCGGTTATATGTTGACTTAGGAAACAGTCCTGGATCGTCTCGAGAAAATCCTCTGATTCTGAGTTACCCATAAGGTCAGTCCAATCTATTTGGCCAAGGTTAAAGTCGCCTACTATACAGACTTTGTTGTGTATGGAAGCCCTGCGCATTTCATCCCAGATATGTCGCTCATTGACGCTATCAAGATTGGGAGGTCTATATATTGCTCCTGTGATTAATTTTTCCTACCGTCGATTAATTCTATCCAAATTGTCTCTGTATTCCGCTCAGTTTTTATTTCCTTATTTATTTCACACTTCAGATTATCCCTGACATAGATTGCTACTCCGCCTCCTTTCCTAATCTGCCTATGGGTATGGAATAATTTGTAACCTGCAATTTGGTATTCGACAGGTAACTCACGTGAGTCTAGGTTGATCCATGTTTCAGTGAATGCTATTATATCGATTTTTTCGGTACATACCAAGGCCCTAATATCATCCATTTTGTTTCTCATGCTTCTACTGTTGGCGTAGTAGACATTTAAGTTAGTCGTGTTCTGAGTCCTCCCTTTGCCGCGTTTAGGTTTTAACTCGCTGTCTAATTTAGTTTTGTCGTCATTCCTAACACTATTTCCCTGTAACCTTTCACTTTGTTTACCCGCTCCCACTGCAGTCTCCTCCACCCTCGTGCTCACATGTTCCCCTAGCAGTTTAAAGACTTCGACATCTTTTGGACTGCCCTTTCGAGAGTCCCAGCCAGGGTAGCCACTCCATCCCTAGACAGGTGCACCCCATCCCTAGCATAAAGGTCCCTTCTGCCGTAGAAGTTGTCCCAGTTGTCAATGAATGGGACTGATATTGACTTGCAAAATCTGTCAAGACGGCCGTTGACACCAACGGCCCTTGACAACCATTCATTGCCAACTCTCCTTCTCGGCAGGACACCACATATGATAGGGATCCCTCCCCTAGACCTAACACGTTCTATAGCTGTCTTGAACTTATCAAGAAGCTCCTCACTCCTACACCGGCCAATATCATTGCCTCCTGCACTGAAGCAGATAATGGGTTTGTTCCCATTACCAGACAAGATATTGTCCATCCTGTCAACTATATACCCCACCCCATCTCCTGGCAAACACACCCTCATTCTATGTTTATCTTTTCCGCAAAAAGCTCTGTCCATGTACCGTACCTGCAAGTCGCCAACAATCAAAATTTTCTTGCCTCCCTTGTCAGCCTTGTCCCTGACTATACTAACGTCCAATTCGTCAATCAAAGGACTGAAAGAGTTGGTACATTTAGCTGTTGTTGTCGTTTCCTTGGTGTCTTTTCTCACCACCAGTTTGGTCGTCCCTCTCCTTACAACCTTCCATTCTCTTGAGTTTTCGTCATTCACCTGCTTCCCTTGTCTCGTTTCTTCCTTCATCCTCGCTATCTCTTCTTTTAATTTCAGGATATCTTCCTTGCCCCTCTCCAACTCGGCCCTCAGAAGTGCACAGCCCTGTTCACAAGTCGCACTAGCCATTACTGACGAGTCGCACTAGTACCTACCTGAGGGCTGGACTCAGGCAGTAACCACGACAGTACCTACCTGGAGGCTGGACTCGGGCAGTAAGGTGCAGCAGAAGGCGTGGGGCGCTGTTCTCCGGGAGGTGCAGGACGTATTGTGACTTGCCAAACTCCACAGGGTCGCCTCCTACCAACCTCGTCACTGTAACACAACACACGCCGTTACTACACCTAGTATGATGCCCTCTATGTGTTACAGTGCCTCTATATGTGTTACAGTGTGTTAATATGGGTTACAGTGCCTTTATTATGTGTTACAGTGTGTTAATGTGTGTTACAGTGCCTCTATATGTGTTACAGTGTGTTAATGTGTGTTACAGAGCCTCTATATGTGTTACAGTGTGTTAATGTGTGTCACAGTGCCTCTATATGTGTTACAGTGTGTTAATGTGTGTTACAGTGCCTCTATATGTGTTACAGTGCCTATATATGTGTTACGGTGAGTTACAGTGCCTTTATTATGTGTTACAGTGCCTCTATATGTGTTATAGTGTGTTAATGTGTATTACAGTGCCTCTATATGTGTTACAGTGCCTATATATGTGTTACGGTGAGTTACAGTGCCTTTATTATGTGTTACAGTGTGTTAATATGTGTCACAGTGCCTCTATATGTGTTACAGTACTTCTATAAGTTACAGAGCGTTAACATGCGTCATATAATCAGGAGATATAAACTCAAATATTAATTCTACAAATGCTATGTTAATAAGTCAGTACTAATACATATACATAGTCTTTATAATATATACAGTACACATATGTATGCTGTATATATCCTCTCCTAGATGTATCAATTTACATATGAAGGACAAATTGCAAAAAATAAAATCATATAAATATTTTCTAATATGGACGAAATTTTAAACTCCTATTTTGTTGAATATTTTCGGCCACACAAATTAAATAAACATTACCCATCACTAACATTTCAGAGAGATTCCAGAATTTCACACTTGCGTCAACAACACTGAACAAAAATATCCCTATCGAATTTACAATCACTTCCCCCACACGTGTGCTGTAAACGTAAAACACAATTTACAAAGTCCAGCTCTCGTGTATTTACATTTCTTGTGTAAAAAAATATATATATATATATTAATAAAAATCGTCGCTGTCGGCTATTTTGGAAAATGAATTGGGATATATTTTGTGTTTTCTCCGAGTGATGTTATTGAGTGAGAGAGAGAGAGAGAGAGAGAGAGAGAGAGAGAGAGAGAGACTTTGTTGTGATAGGTACAAAGGTTTAATTTCATGGTACTCCTCATGACACGACACAGGAACAGTAGGTACAGATAAAGTGACAAATGCAGGTGTGTGTGTGTGCGGGAGGGGGATAAATTACAGGTATAGCTACAGTTGACCGGTTTAATTACAGGTGTAGATATATTACAGGTATGGATACAAGAATATAAAGAGGTACAAGTACAGGTAAACACAAACACAGGTACAGATACAAACAGAGGTCCAATAAACTTAAACACACACACACACACACACACACACACACACTGAATGACAAACTTCCATCGACCAGCCTTCAAGAGATTATCCATTCACTTTAAACCGGATAATTCGGTGTGGATATTGATCAGCGAGTGAGGAGGAGTGAAGTGGAGTGAGGTGGAGTGTTTGAGGAATATTTGTGTTGATGGAGTGTTCGTATCAAGCCATTAGTTACCTGGGGAATCTTCCTCTTGTGGGTACTATAAAGGTGTACGGGGCGAGTGTGTTGATGAGGCATATTCTGGTCTTTGAGGAGGAGTATTTTGGAGGGGGATTTAAGGGGAGTGATACTTCGAGTTTTAAGGGGGGGTAATATTCCGGTCTTTGTGGTTGAATATTCCGGTATTTGAAGAGTAATATTCAAATCTTTACCGAACAATACTTACCCCCCCCAAAATAACGATAAATAACAAAATAACTCATACAATAACACATCAACAAACTTTAATTACTTCTCTAATAACTTCACAATTTCATAAGAATTAGCGACGTGTACAGTCCGTCCCCTTCACAAGTGCGTTTACAGGGGGCCAGTCATGTTTGGTGCAGTGAGGCAACCTTGTGTTTGTTCACAGCCGACAGAAGGTAAACTCACAATAGGAAACATTTTGTGGAATCAAATTAAAACAATATTAAAACAATTATCTCAATGATTATTAATTTGTGGAATGTTTATATGACGACAAGCCCCTGTAAACGCACAAGTGAAAGGGACTGTACAATTAGAGTTAAAAGTGGATGTGTGTGTACTGAACCATGTAAATAGACACACAGACACACACACACACACACACACACACACACACATCCCCACCACCACCATCATCATCATGACTCGTGAAATATCGAAACTCATTCTAGGAAAAGTTTTACAGCCTAAAGGTCGGAACTGTGAGGAAATATCCGAGATTTCTATTGGCTGAAGAGGAGATATTACAGAATCAATCGACCAATAGGAGAATACAGAATATTACCGACGATTTTGTAGTATTATTCAATCTACAGTCATCTACCCATATTCCCCATTTCCTACCCCCACATACCTGACATTCCTCAATTAAACTCCCAAGACTCCCAATTTCCCCATTCCCCACCCCAAGACTCGCCATCCCCTACCTAAATAATCCCCATTCACCCTTCCAATCCCCCCCCCACCCCCATTTCCCACCCATCCCCACACCCTCCTCCCTATTAAGGTGAGAAAATGCATGGGGGCAGTAAGTATGGGGATGAACTGGGGACGCCTCCTGCCTCATACAGATAATGTCACCCATTATTTGTCCCTGAACACCTTACACCAGCTGCTCCGCCTTCACCCATTATTCAGAAATATAAGGGGGGGGAGGGTTGAACTAAGGGGGGGGAGGGTTGAACTAAGGGGGGGAGGGTTGAACTAAGGGGGGGTGAGGGAGGGGTTAAATTATGGGTAAAGGGTGGAGAAGGGAGTTGAAATGAGGGTAGGGAGGGTTTAATTTTAAGCTAAGGGAACTCCTGAAAGTAGGCATATCTAAATAAACTAGGCCTGTCAAAATAAAATAGGCCTATCGATTAACTGGAGACCCTGGAACCATTAATGATAAACAAATAAATAATAATAAATAAAAATAAATAAAATTAAAATAAACAGAGGTAAATAAAACACAAAATACACATCTGGCAACCTACACGCGAGGGTTCCAAAACCACCATCTATCTCTTTTTTTTTTACACAATTTAAAATCTCTGAAAAAAAATTGCTTGTGTTTGGATGTAGAGTCGAGGAGTATAGCTATATTGTCTGTTTGTATAGTTTGTGGATAGTTTTTATATAGAAATTACTGGAAATTACTTTTTTCTGTAAGAATTTTGTTTTGTTTTTAAATTCTCTCTCGGATGCGCGTTTATAAATGACCCCCAAATTAGGTAATTATTATTAAATTATGATCCTTTCAAATAATTAAGCTTCTATTAACGAATTATTATTATTTTCCACTTTTATTTTTTTTTTATTTAATCTTTTTTTCATATATTAATTGCTAGACAAACTCTATCAGAAGTTTTTAAAAGTCTGTTGTGATATACGTTCATTATACCGAAAAATACAGTGGCAATTAGACGTCTATTGTCCGTTTGTATGTCAATAAAGTTAACGGGATATAATATAGTATATATTTTAGCGGGATATTTTATATAAAAATTATTAAAAACATAAACCCTTCAAAATTATTAAAAAAAAAAAACAATTGCGTTCAAAAATCCCCCATAAAAAAGTTTACGCGCCAAGAATAAATTTTCCCGCCATTTGTACTTTCCATAAACACAATAAATATTCCTTTATCGTCTCTATAAATTTTAGTCAGGAAAAATGTATCGTAAAATCTTTAAAGACAAAAATTATAATCGTTCGTAGAAGCGTTCGAAAATGACGGAAAAAAATTATCCCCTTAATATTTATTGTCGGTAGTTAAGGTTTAATGGCCTCGTTGTGTGACGTGATGATTAGGTTAGGTTAGGTTAGGTTAGGTTATGGTTAGGTTAGGTTAGGTTAGGTTAGGTTAGTCTTCTCGCGATATATTTATTCCTTTACGATATATTTCTTCTTTGATAAATTTATTGAACGTTTAAATCAACCGAGGAAAAAATAAAGAGGGATTTATGACTTCCATGTTGAGAGATAAAAGCCAGCAAATACAATTTTCATCATGTTTCTAGCTCCCGACCTCCAGGTGGCCTCCAAGTTGAATTTTGGTGGCCTCTAGGTAAACTCCAGGTAGACCGAGGTGACGTACAGGTGGCCTCTAGCTTCCCTCTAAGGTGGCCTTCAGGTAGCTCCAGTGACCTCTAGAACCTCCAGGCGGCCTCCAGTGACCTCCTTCTCATATTTACATTTTCTCTTAAAGTTTATCTGAGCTATTAGCATAACCCCCCCACCACCCTCCTATCTCTCCACTCTATAAATATATCCTTCAACTATCCACTATCCACATATAATCCCTCTTATCCACCTATCCACTATTCAAAGATGGCCGGCCGTCTATCTTACTGGCGGCAGGTATCTGAGACGAATGAAAAGTTCCGGATGAATAACCAACCTAGAATAGGTCCCATCCCCCCCTTCTTCCCTTCCTTCCCTTCCCCTCCCCACCCTTTTCCCCCACCCTCCTTCCCTCCCCGTCTTCCTCTCCTCTTCCCTATCCTTCCCTACCTCCCTTCCCTTCCCCTCTCCTACCTTCCTTCCCTTCCTCTCCCCTACCCTTCCCTTCTCTTATCCTCCCCCATTCCTCTCCCTTGCTCTTCTCCCTCCCCATCATCTCCCCTCCCCTCCCTGCATCTCACCTCCCCTCTCCCCCACCATTTCAGGATTTTTCCCTAGCCAGCCAGAACTCCCGGGGAAATCTTACTAGTTCAGGGATTTTCTTTGTTGTGGTGGGGAAGAATGAGGGAGGAGGGAGAAGGAGGAATGAGAGGAAGATAGAGGAAGGGAAGGAGAAGATGGAGAAAAGGAGGAGGAGGAGGAAGAAGGGAAAGGAAGGGAAGGAGATGGAGAGAGAAGAGAGAGATGCTGATACTCTCTCTCTCTCTCTCTCTCTCTCCCTCTCTCTCTCTCTCTCTCTCTCTCTGGCCCTCCACCTACTGAAGGCACAATACCTGGCAC